GGCAGGCAGACCAGGTTTCCCTCGTACTTCTTGGCAATGTTCTTGAGCTTGTCATCCATTCCCGGAATGTTGTAAATGTCGGACACCTGACTGTAGGGGCCGTGCGTGCCAATCAAGCCGGCAATGGTGGGGAACATGCCAGGAAATTGGCGGTAAGCCTGGATGTTGGCATTGTTGATGTCAACCTTATCAGTCCCCCCCAAGTATTTGATTCCCTCGTAATCCACCATAGCCTGAGCTGCGCCAGGTGCGACGGCCACGGCCGCTGCTGCCGCAGTGGAGACCAGCTGCTGCTTTCTAGAGTTCAACCATCCCAGCACTGCACCAACGCCGAAGCCGGCAGTGAGAACGCTCAGGACATTGGAGTTGCTGGCCTCGTCGAAAGTCTCCTCGACTGGCTCCAATGGCAGTCGAACTGGCCTTCCCTGGCTCTCAGTGGTAGTGACACCGGTGCCCGGGGCCACGAATGCAGCCACCGGGGATGCAAGCAGCAAAGCAGCCAGCAGCACGCGAGCCATGACGCAACCGGATCCTGCGCTAGCTTGAATTACAAAAACTCTTAGCCACAGGCACAAATACATCTTGGTTGGATAGATTGATAGATAGGTTGTTCAACGAACCAGCACAACTCAAGGCTGTCTTTACTTCGCGATGGGTGCACAGAACATCGTCCCCAAACACAGGTCTCAGTGCAGGGCTACTTTGGCAGCCGCAGAAAACTTGAATTGCCATCGTTGTGGAAGGAATCCGGCTAAATAACGTGATTCGAAAATGTGTAGCTCCACTGACACTCGCAGAAAGATGCACGAACATGAAGAGTGAGGTCCTCCTTACGCAACAACGAGCTGTTTTTAAACAACTTCAACGTCTGACCGACAAGCTCAGAAGGCCATCGCACCTGAGGCAACAAGTGGAGGCAGAACGGCAAGCCTAGCCTTGCGGTTGATCAATTTCGCCGAGCGGCTGTAATCACGAGTGGGCGCGGCGGCCTGCGGCGGGTGTAAGAGACTGGCCCCTTTCTTGCAGCTGCTTGGGCCTCTCCCTTGGGCTTCGGGATTTTCCGTGCCCCTTCAGGCTTTGATGTCCTGCCAAGGAAAAGGCATATGCACCTGTCGAAACACCATGCCGAGACTAGACTTCTGTTCACTTTGCAGGTGAAGCAGGTAGGAACATGGATGAAGCGTATGGGGATCGCCAATATTTCACGCCCAGGTTCTAAAGGCACTGCACATAGATCCGAAACGGCTGTCGCTCCTTCCAAGCTCAGTCTTTAGGAACTCCTTCACTTTGCCATTCCTTGTTGCTGTGGTTTGCATGACTGGCGTGTAGAGCTTGCAAAGCCTTTTGCAGGAGCCCGGCGCACCCAGTCTGACCGAAACACGAGGAGCCGCACCGTTGGCCAAGTGAATCCTTTCCACTTGGCCCTGCGGCGGCAACGATGGGGTGAGGTTCAACACTGCACTCTCTCCCGCCTTGAGGCCATGCCTGATATCGAAAGTCTCATCTCTAGGGAATCACCCCACACTCTGTTGCAGAGAGGCAACAGAATCCGAGAATCCGGCCAGGGGGGTTTTGCGAGGACCACGACCCAATCACCTGGGCCTGGCAAGGCACAGGCACCGAACACGAAAGCTGGAGAAAGCTGGCTTTCAAAAGACATGCCGGCAATTGCTCAAGATCTCTCGGGCGGCCATCCTCGGTGGCATAGAATCATGAGAACCCGGAAGACATGCTGCCCAGTCGCGCAAAAGGCACACGCTGGGCCCCGTACGCGCCAGGCACAGCCCTGCGCATCACACGGTGACGCTAACCCTTCCCTCCCCCTCTCCTTGCATCAAGCACTCCATGTCTTCAGCACTCCAGTCAGAGGCCAGCGCGGCTGAAGATGGCTTTGAGCTTGGTATTTCGCCTGCCACACGCCACGGGACTATTGACGACTCAGAGTACTTGCATGCATGCTGCTATTGCTACTCCATGAACTGCGGAAGCAGCAATCGAACAACTGTCCACTGGTGCTTCCGGTGTGAGCAATCGTACCTCTGCTTCCTGATCTACCTCGACTTTCAGATCCTGGGAACCATCCACATTGCACTAAATCGGAAGACTGCAGTGTTGTAAAATCACCATTGACAGTAACAACGTCCTCCAGCACATCACCAACTATTCGGAAGCGAGAACCTCGCTTCTGCGTCTCCTGCAGCGCTGCATCAATTGTCGGATGACGTCCGGAAGCACTTCGAAAGCACTGCAAAAGTCTCTGTCCAGCTTCAGGCGTTGGACAACATCCTGGCAATGGCAAAACCAACCAGAAAGACATCAAAAGCATGCACTTGCACGTGACCTGCATCCGGTGATGTAGAGACTTGGGCACGCTGGGTCAGACTCAGACCAGAAGCATTCCAACATCAACCTGTGCACTGCGTGGTAACTTCCTGGCGCCCAACCATGGACCATAGTGTGAGAGGCTCCAGAGTCCGACTTCGGAGGTTGTAGTGTCCACGAACGCTGGAACTGGACACAAGGTAAGAATATTTTGTTCGGCACACTTTGTTGTGACTCGCTTTTTTGCTCGAGCTGGGCTGTCCGAGCAAAAAAGAAATTCTGTTGTTTCTGCCGAGAAGAAACCACAAAAATTGGGTTTGCTGTTTGTTCGGTACCGTGTGGGCTCGTGTTGCACTGTTACGTGTCTGCTGAAGCTTTGTGTGTAACACTAGTGAGCCATTCTCAATTCGTTGCCGACCCACATCGCCGCGCTCTGCTCACATGCATGTTGAAGGCCAGCTGCAAACTCACACAGACAAACTGAAGTCGTGGAAATGCAGTCGCATCAGTTAGTTCTCGATTCAAAAGCTTGCCACCGGCAGCGGGGCAAAGTAAGATCCAGGAGATACAAAGAAGCACAAGCATGCATTGGACAGCCTGAAACTGCTTCTCCTTCACGGCAATCTGGGCCTCGCGACGAACTTTACCAAGACGTGCCATAGCAACGCCATGCAAAAGATTCACTTGCCTGCAGCTCGGCTTGCATCTGCCTCTGCAAAGCCACAGTTCTGGCCTGCAGCTTGGCCTTGCGGGAACGGTCAAACTTCGTCGAAGAAGCGAACAAGCCAAACGGACGGAGATGGGGACTCTGATTCCGAAGGACCCGAGCGGCGGAACGCTGCAGTTGCATCTCAGCCCCATGATGCACTTGAGCTGCTGGAACAAGCTTGTTCTACACCCACGGTACATGATGCAACGGTCGTTCTGCCTTTTTAGTTTGACTTCGCTTCAGACAGATGCAGACGGATGCAGTCAGCAGCGGCTCGCCCAGGAGGCCCTCCCTTTTCCGTCACGTTACCCGGTACGAGTGACAGGTGCTTGAAGAAGCGAAATACGGTGCGGTTTCGGATACCTGCCACTACACGTCCGACAGCACCGCTACGTTGCCTCCATTTCAGCCACTTCCTGCTCTCGCCGAGACAGCTCCGCTGCCTGCAGTGGCAGCCAAGCGTAGGCGAAAACCTTTTTTCCGACCCGAACGCCGCCTTCGTGTCCGCTTCTCTGATTGCTGTGGATGCTGCAGCCTGCTGCACCATCTCTGCGCTGGTAGGGCCGCACTGGTTGAGTCTGGGCCTCTCTTTGCTCGGCATCAATTCGTGCAGACTCGAAGTCCTCAACATCTCGGGCACTAGATGAAAGTGTACCTGTGGCATGACAGTGGCATGACGTGGCCTTCTCTGCGTTGGCGGCCTGGCACCACACAGTGACGGCGGACAACGGCAGATTCCCAGCCCCGATCCCTGGCCTTGCGCTGCAACGCCAGTAGCTGCCTCTGATCATCACCCAGCAGCTCCACTGCACGAGCCACCTCTGCAGTCGTGAGATGAAGCTGTGCTTGCAGAACTGGTACGCTTCTGAGCAAGAGACAAGCGGGGCAGGCAGTCCAAGCCGCTCAGCAGTCTCCATTGCATGAGACTCTCCAATCTTGGTATGTACTCGCATCAATCTCGACACTCTCTACCCGTCCGAAAGAGAGTCGTCCAAAACACGAAGACCAGAACATAAGCATCAGCACGGTGTTCGTGGCAAGTCGATATGTGGGCCGCCCGCTCCTGTACCTCAACGTCTCCATCGAATACAAGGTGGCTGTTTGGCCAAGCCTCAGAGGAGTGTAGAGGAGCACTCCATGGCTGCAGTCATCGTGCGCTCATCCTGCCGCAGAGTCTCACGGGCCAATGGAACGACTGGAAAAGTCCCCGAATGCGCAGATCGCAACTCAGCTCGCCGTCGCTTAAACAAAGCTTACACGCGAGCATGCGCTCTGCAGACCTTGCCGCTGACTGCTTGCCGCAAGGGTATGTACATGTGAGTGATGGCACGCGCAGTCTTTGCACCACCATCATCACCAGACTGCCTACATGGCCTCAATCCAGAGGCTGGTATGTAAGCTCTACGCTGACGTATCCGCGTGGCTTGTTTCTTTGAAGAAGCCGAAGGCAAATGCAGGAATGGCCGTCACCGCCAGACAACTTCCTGAGGTATGGCCGGCAAGAGCACCGGCAGCACAGAGTTAGGAAGAGTCAAGCCAGGCTTCAAGAATCTGTTGTAGCCAGTACAGTACAAATAGTCTAGCACTGGCGCCAGGCGGGGGCATGATTCTGGGAGGCGCCTGGGTCCTACGCGTGTTTGCCATGCCTCACTTTATTGTGCAGCGGCGTTGAGCACGGAATGAGCAGTCAAGAACGCTAAAATCCGTTGTGATGGACCCAACCCTTGTCATTCCCGACACAACTGTAAGCATGCATTGACCGGTCATGCTTGGCAGCTTCCACTCTGCAACAGGAAGTGCGCACTCAGCACCAACAAATTCGAGTTTCCGCACTGAACCTGGCAGATCTGGCTATACTCCACGGCCCATCGTACTGCTTAAATGAATCCTGAGCCATGCGTCTGATCGTCGAAAACCGCCGGTTGGGAGAAAGATAGGTTCTCCTTACTACGCCGCATAACTTCTCGAAGAGGGATATCCTCAGCACCAAAGGGGTGCACAGCTGCATTCCCCTTCTGCCCTTCTCGCCTAGCGCATGTGCTGGGGACCCGTCGCACTGCCCGATGGCATCATCCTCGCAAACCGTTTAATCAAACAGAGCCAGTAGCCTAAAGCTTCACGACTACTGAGCCGTCTCCTGACTGAAGGTGTCCGCATCCCAAACGCAAAGCCGAAGAATATCTACATTCGGGTTCCGAATGTTGAGCATAAGCGTCTCATCCTTGGCTGAACTACTGCAGCCTGTTTAAAGTAAGTGCTCCGAGCCTTCATCCATGTTGTGTGCTGATAGAGTTGCTCAGGCGTCATTGAAGCTGAGGGCGAGACCCACACGGGATCAGCACAGTTCTTGATGGCTCTTGTGCGGACATGCTGCTGCCCGCCAACAAGCTCCTGGTATATACTGGCTCTAGTGACTCTAGTGTGCGCACGAGCCAATGCCACGACCAGATTGCTGACGAGGTTCTGCCACAACATATGGATCGCTCTGGGTGGTAAGGTCCAAGGCTATTAGCTGTCGAGCCTCACGAATCACGACATAGCCGGAAACCCACACCGATGACCATGAGTTGCCAAGGCTGACACGGACTTCACCTTCACCATGACCACGCCACCTCACAGGTGGAAAAGTGGGCCGTTTGACACACCTCGACACTAAGTTACCTCTTCGGGTCGCATCGATTATCACACAGCACCTAAACCAGAGGCATTGCTGCAAAGACCAGAAAGCGCCTCTTTCAGCACTTAGGCCTCTTCTTTATGAAATTATGATTGTCTGTGGACATCGACGCATCTTTCACGTTGTGCTTCAACACTTGTCCGTTCGGGCCCACTTCTGAGGTTTAGAAGCAACCATGTCGGGAATGTCTCTGTTCGAGTTGCTGCTTGGTTGCAGAACTCGACTGACGCCACTGTTGTGACCGAGCCAGATAAGCTTGACCTCACTCCGTATGCGCATGGCAGTTTGACCATGAGCACAATCACTGATAGGCTAGGGGCACACTTACCCTAGCAACAGTGTCAACAAGCTCAAAGACTCAGAAGTGCTGGGTGAGTTGCGAGCAATGTTAGACGCGTTGTTAAAACTGCACTGGGGGTCACAGCCGGCCAGCGTGCACCGAGTGATAATGATTATCCGCACTGGGCCCAGCAGCGGAACAGCGGAGGTGTTAGCAAACTTTAGAAACCAAGCAGGGTCAGGTAGGTGTGGGAGAGGATGGTATCAAAATGAGCCAACCAGACCTTCGGAGATGGGCACTCTGCTTGACACCAGAGTTTCTGTTTTCACTGCCTGCGCACGTCGCCTGATTCGAACCTAGCACACGCACTCCGCGGTTTCTGTCTGTATGTGTGTCCGATGAAGATGTGCGTGGTCTCACTGCCCGCAAGTTTTAAGTTTCAGGGTTTGCCGATTTAGAATCACAGATACTCACAATTGCAGCAAAGGCTCTCCACCAACTTGCCACTACCATTCCTTGTGAAACTCCTCTCTTGATATTTGGAACCTGGAGTGATGGCTGAAGAAGTTTTACGAGTCTTCACAAACCCTAAAACCCTAAACCCTAAAACCCTAAACCCTAAACCCCTAAAACCCTAAACCCTAAACTCCTAAGACCCTGAACCCTAGACTCCTAAACCCCTGAACCCAGCACCTCTTTGACCCCTAAGCTCCAAACAGGGTCAAGCTCTTAGGGTTCAGGGTATTGGGGTTTAGGGATTAGGGTTTAAGGGTTCCGGGTATTGGGTTCAGGGTCCAAGGCTTATGGTCTCGCGCTTAGTGTTCAGGCTCACTGCTCAAGGCCCAGTCGGTCTAGCGTTTAGTCTTGGGTGTCTGGCGTCAGGGTTTGAGGATCAACTGAACTCCGTGGATACGCAATCAATATCTGGTCTCCATTGCTGCCACAGGCGCGAACGAAAACGTCCAAAGCTTCTGCGAAGTTCACCTCAAGCGCACGCGCTATTGGGATCTGCCCTCCTTGCAAGCGAAGATGATTTTAATATAGCTGTGTCCAGGGGCAAATCTGGTACCCGACTCCGTTGGCTTGTTGAAGCCGTCGGGAAGTCTGTACTCCAGCTCGACGTTGACCTTTGTCCAGAGAACACAGCGCTCGTTGACCAAGCAACAGTCCTGGAGCATTCAGAGTAGGAACGTGCTCATTCCCATTTTGCAGCATCCTCTCCTTGGGTGCAGCGTCATTGTGTACCTTTCTGTCACTACAACTCACTCAACCGTAGTAAACCGTACGATCATGCGGCCAAAAATCATATTCACCACGATCCCACTTGTCCAATGTCAACGACAGCACCCGGCTAATGTGCGTTCCGAGACTGCGATGTCGTCCTCCAGGCAGGGAATCACTTCACTAAGATTGGATTCTGCACCTGTTCCACACCAACGCGAGCTGTCTATTCTGGCGAATCCTGCTATCCTACTTCGAATTGGCAGCCGAGAGTCGGCAGAAACAGAAACGCAGCACGGCCAAGGCATATGTGCGGACACTCACCGCTGACTGCACCCCGTGCGCAAGCGTCAACCATCGCCAATGATCAAATTTGTTGTTTAATGCCAGGGCGAAAAGTGTGAAGCAGAACTATTACGGCATCCAAAATGCAGCTCAACGAAGTTCGACGGGGCAGGGGGAGGCGCGTCTTGAGGGCAGGTCATTGGCGGAATGCAGGTTGCAGGGTCGACTCTTAAAGCAAACTACTGGAGAGTTACGACTTTTCAGGGTCACGCATTTGCAAGATCAGATGGATGTTGGATTTGAAAAGTGCAATAAGTGTAATACATCCTACGACCGATGTGGAAATTGGCTTAACACAGTCTTGCTCGTCCTCAGAGCTTAATGAATGGAGTCAAAGTTTTGATGATGAAGCTTTCTTGAGCTTGATTATTGCTATCAAGACTTGTGGCACCAGCTTCACTCGACCCAAAAAGGCCGTCTCAGAAAACACGAGTTGGTTGGCTTGGCATGGCTTCGCAAAAGATCCGGTTCGCACACTGTAGCAAAACGGATTCGCACTGATCAGGAGTTTGTCGGCCGTCCCACCCCTTCCACCCCGTGATCTGTACCCGTACCGAGGGGGACAACAACAGAACAAGAAGAGCAATGGCACCAATGACAACCCTTTGCGTTTATTGTTCAATTGATTGGGTTTCACAATGTGGAGGGTATCGCGATGATTTGGGAGACGTATCATTGGTACAGAAGCACCTTTTTGAACCGTGGGCTCCCACGTGATACAAGGACCGTGATCCTACTTTCACGCAACTTTCGAGCTACCCGGTTTGGGATTTATGTTGCCATCCGAATTAATGATGAGTTTTGACATCCGAATTGACGAATTATGTGGTGACTGGTCTGCAGAAATCCTGTAGATCGTAACCCGGCAGGCAGAGGTTCCGAAGAAGCTGGCGAGATTCCTAAACATGAATGTCACACCAACCAGGATCATGAAAGGCTTTGTTGCTCAGACTCAAAGTTCCGCTGGGCTTTTTCGTGTTTAAGCTTTTTGGAAACTCAGTCGTTCAGATGTGCTTCTTCGGCGTTTACCCGATTAACGGGTGAACCGGGTGATATCTATATACATACTCTAACAGAAACTGTTTCAAAATAATGCAATATGATGCAACATAATGCAGTTTATCCTATAGTATATACTTTTATATTCTGTATCCATGTTCATATGTACTATAACAATGTAATATAACATAGCATTATCAAACAGAACAGCACAAAACATCATATGCTTCATATAATATTCTATAAGGCTTACGGTAGAATATACTATTCTCTACCATAGCAGAATAGAAACTAAAATTTAAAACGGTTAGTGCAAAAAATAACAGTATGTAATAGTAGTTGTTTATTGATATATTGGCCATATAAATTCTGCACATCTTGATATGGTATTCATATAACCATGCAGCAATACGAGTCTTTTTCTCCCCTACATTGTAACATATTTTGCAGTATTTAACAAAACTGGAGTGTACTATTGATGTGAAAGCGTTGTATAATTTCAATATACGTATCATATTGATTTAAAATCAATACAACATAAAATCATACAATTTCTGTATGATAAATCACATCATACCTCATCTAAGTCACGCGGTCAATACGGTGTGTTGATTCCACCTGTTTGTTGCTTCGAAGCCAACTTGTATGCGAAGACTTGGGCCTCCAGCCCCCCGCNNCCCCCCCCCCCCCCCCCCGTCCCGCCGCCCTTGAGCTCCCCGCACCCCATCCACCCACCACCTGCAGGCCAAAAAAATAGAAAATACAAAAATGTAATGACAATGACCCCTCTGTTCTGAACACATACTCTAAGTTTAGCACGTCCAGTTTGGATGACTATCCAGAACACAGGCAGCTAGTCCGACCATGCCACTATCCACTGCGAATTGTAACACTTAATCAAGTAATGAAGAAAGCTGCGCCTTCGGACAACCCACATCGGTCCTGCTGCATGTGAGCAAAGCACCACGCCGAACGTTACAGACGCCCAGCTTGGAGGAGGGCCTCCGCGGCAGTCTGCACCTTGACTGGCGGTGACAGACATTACTGCCACGCAAGTGGCAAGGCTCCGGACGTCGAGAACACTTGCAAAAGCAAAAACCATCAGAAAGTTGGGTGGAGCAGACCTGTGCTGCAGACGACCTGTCATCTCCTTGAGAATTCGTTCCGTGCACTATTGAACCATTGCAATGCCAACAGAAGGCCTGGCAGTTTTGGCTGAAGCTGATGTGGCTGATAGATGAATGATGTGAAAGGATGTACAATTGAATCGCCACTTCCTGGCCTGCTCCTGCTTCGAGGCACCCTGACCTGGCTTTCGCTGCGCAATCCCCAGCCGGCCCTGTTTGTAGTTCCTTCCATACGGTCGCTGTGGGCACCAGAGAAATTCTGTAGAGATGCTGGGCCATCTGTGCTTCACACGTTCCCACATGTCGGCCCGCTGGAAATCATACAATCCGAAGCACGAAGCGCACGTGTACAAGAAAATTCAAGCCATGCACGGACATGAAGTGGCTTGTCGTTATCAGCTGGACAAGCAACACTTAAGAGTCTCCAGTCTCATTGCCAAGCTGTATTGCCACGCACTTGCAGAGACACATGTACTAGTAAACATACCTAGAGATTGGGGCGACGAAAGCTACGACACATCTGCAAGGTTCAGGCGAGCTTTCGGAGAATCTGTGCAAGGATGTGCTGCAAAGAACAACAACAAGGGTACCGGGTACCGGGTCGGGTACCAAGAAGCCGACAAGCACCAAGAAAATTGAGAGTCTAACATCGGGGGAGAATCACAGGACTTGCCCCACCCCTGCCCCGTGTAAATCAATCTCGCAACCCCTTTGAGGCCTGCATTTGCATGCGTCGTGCAATCTCACAATAGGTGGGCACCAACGTCGCAGCAGCAGCGTCAACACTAGAAAAATGAAAATCTGCCTCCAACTCGCCAGGCAACCATGTACAGACGCTCCTAAAGACTACAGTCATGTGTGCTCCACCTTTCTTCTGACGAGATTTCTCTTTCCTGTTGGTTTTCTTGCTAACCCGATAACATGAAGCCGACCCCAGGGCACATGCAGAGCCTCTCTCCAATGGCAACATACTCATGCGACCACAAATTCTCACAAGCCCAAGAAGATGGTGCGGCCAAGCAGATATCTCGAAAGAAGTGCTAATGGTCCGGAAAATATTACGTTTTAAATAGCACAACAGGTTCCTAAAAAGGCCCAAACCAAACTAGGAGAAGTTGGACCTAACCCACAGCCTCCGGGGTTAGAAGAGATGCCGGGTTCCAAACTCCAAACCGTAACACAAGCTCTCCATGTGCTGACCAGAAATGATGGGTGGCAAACCCTCCATCCGAAACCTCAAAAAACAAAAAAAGGGAGGGGAGCCAAACCATGGACCCTAAACGGAGTGACTGAGTCCCGGCAATCCCAAACCCGAAGAGGGAATGATGGATGGCAAACTAAAACCCTCAACAGAGACGAGACGATAGATTGCAACCCTGAGCCCGAGACCCGAAAAGCGACCCTTCGCAAAACACAAACCGTAGAGGGAAAGAAGGATCAGAACCCAAACCCGAAAAAGGGTAACTGGATCCCAATCCCGGGTGGCAAACCGAACGGTCGTCCCCATACGTTGGAGAGACCTTCGTCGAATGTGAGCGGGTCTGCTTCAATGACATCAATCCAGATACGAGCATCACAGCTTCATCGTGGTTGTAAAGCGTATCCCACCCATGCTCCAGACGCAAGCATGTCTCTGTCAGGGTTAAAGCCGCTCCGTCTTCGATTAGAAGCTTGCAAGCAGCTTGCAAGCGAACATCCTTTCCACTAAGGTTGCTCCATTTCACGCACCCGATTTTCTCCACAAGAGACCATGGATTGCTCCACGTCCACTTGAACGACGTCCTTCTGCTGGTGCGCAACGACCAAGACGTTGCAGCACAACAGGACGAGTGCCAATGCACAAACGCAGCAATTTGAGGCATTTATGCTTCTGACCACAAAAAACAGCGCAGGTGCGAGATAAAACGCCTTTGGCAAGCATGCCACCCGGCAGAATGGGCCAACCTAGTCCGCGTTGCGAGGCAGAGTAAATATCGAAGCTTATCTTGCACCGTGCAAACTCACAGAGCCGTCAATAATACACTTGCACCTGAGACGAGACGTCTCTGATGGAAGCCGAAAGCTTTGCTGAATCCTACGAATGCTCCGTCTGGAGCATAGAGCTTCAACCCATAGTTGCTTCAGGCTTACGAACCACAATACTGAAAGCTTTTCGTTGCCAGCAGGTTCATCAATGGAAAGTGCAAACAAAGAATCTTGGTGAGATTGGTGTCAAACTAGGCGATTGAAAGAAGGCTAAGGGTCGACCTGACATTTCGCACGGCACTTGCCTCCTGGTGCGGATGGGGCGGGCGAGGGCAACAACTCTTACATGCTTAATGCACTTGCTTGATGCTTGTTGCTCCCAAGTAAGCTCGGTGCAAGAATCATTCCCTGGAATGGCTAGGATCGCAGCAACCTCCAGCGACAGCACATGAAAGCGCTCTCAGAAGCAAGGCTTGGCAAGAACAGCTCATGCCAATTCTTGCCTCCTCGGCTGTCAGCAATCGTGGCCAGCCATCCTCTGTACCAATTTCCTGAAGCCTCAATGCATCTTGAGCCACCGACAGTTGCACACGGATTGGTGGAACAGGGAGTCCATCAATCACCTAAAGACTAGGCTCGGAACTGGACGCCGGCGACATCCATCGAAAGTTTCTTGCAACACGTGCCGGACTTTGGAAGGATAATTCCACTCTGTTCATGTGAAGTGCACTATGCTGGACAAAGCTGAGGCTTGGGAAGTCTTCTTTGTTGCTCAGACTTGCATGTCTTTCCCGTGTCCGCATGATCTTCGTCCACAGAATCGCACATTCTCGTGGCTGCAGGCACTCGCACATCGAGCGATCACAAGGCTGGAGACGTGAAATCCACTGTAGGCCTCCGTGGCCCAGTTCTTGAGCTGAACGCAGTGCCTCAATCGGCACACGTTAGAAGCCGGTACCGGAGCCTTGTAGCCTTTCAGACCATCTGGCCGTCTATGGTGCCAAGAGTCGTTGTCGCAACAACACGAGCGCCTGATTCCAGAAATGCCTGGACAAATGCACGCATCATGTCAACTTGAGATTCGGTGGCTCGTGTCGTTTACATCAGAATGGGTCATGCCCTGGTAGGTCCGTTGAATGGTAGGACCAGTCGGGCTGGAAAAGCGCTTCACTCCCAGCACCCCTAGCTTCCAGTGCAAAAAAACCTGCTCACATCAATTTCACTTGCGCGAACGGAAATCAATAATTAGTAATTAGCAGAGGACGCTAAGGAGTTGGATAACGGCAGAAATGCCACGAGGGCCGATCGGCTTTGGACTCAGTCTTGGGTCCAGGAATCCAGAATGCACAAGGGTTAACCTTGAGCTTCTTGGGGACCCTCGTCGGCATCATGGAACTTTTACGAGGGTGCTCGGCAATGCCGATTTTTTCGCATCCACCAGGACGAAGCCGCTCCTTGTGTTGGTTTCGCTAAGTTTCACGACCGCAGCTTTCCTTCCGGGCCTCCGAATGAACAATCCCACTCATGCTACTTATTTCTGGCCTTGCGGCGGGCCTGCTTTACATGCCGTTTGGTCGCGAAGATCTCACTGCACCTTCGACGAAATTCAATGACCAGCTCAGAGCTCGGTCTTCGAATGCCTGTCTCTTCTTCAAAGGCTTGTGACCACGAGACTTGTCTTCCTGGCCCTTGGCTGGCCCTTGGAGCGGCCTTCGGCTTAAGCGAATGTGAACTGTGAAGTGCTCCTTGTATGCCGGTTGCAAACTCGTCGATGCTTATGCTTGTCGACAAGGGATCGGAACCTGCGGTGAACGCAGAAGATTCTTAGGCAAGACTGCTGTCTTCAGTTGTACAGATGTACACTGCGGCTGTGTTGCCTAAAGCGGTTCTGCTAGGACGGGACAGTGGGGCCCCGTAATCGAAAGAGCAGCCTTCCGAATTCATCAGGGAATAAGCCCCCCCTGCCTGAAGCTTAAGCCCGATATATCAAGAGCAATGGGCCCCTAAACTCGTTTTGACGCAAAACCAACTCCCGCAAGCTCCAAAGGAGCTAGCTTTCGCACGTGTCCGAAACTTCACGAAGAAGCCTGGAAACGAACTCTGGAAGCTAGCACTGCATCGTTGCTGGGTCATCGCGCAGACCCTTTCAGGCCCACAGCTTAGGATCTAGCGATTCGTGGCGCGATAGGAGCACATAAGCCAGGTGGGCTTGTCCCGCCTCCAGCATGGCACGGGCCAGAGCCGCCCCTTGTTGGGGATCCGTTCCAGTTCCGGCCTCCCAACAGCACAGCTCTTGACACTGGTCCGCGCCGGTCCGTGCGCAGGCTCCCACTGGCTCCAACCTCATCCACCAGAACCATAGCTCGTGGCCCGACATGCCGGACACTCGACAGCATGATGCGGGACCTGCGAGAGCGCCGGGCTGAAGGTGAAGTCCCAATCGCAACTAGAGGGTGCTAGTTCTGCAAGCTCAGGACAAAGCGCTACGAGATGTGCAGAGTAAGTTGACAAGTCATCAACCTAAGTCGCCAAGCACTTCTGCAGATGTTGTCAGAATGCTACTTGCTGCTTAGGCTTTGAGGCAATCCAGGCTGTGAGCAATCGTTTGCATGTCGCCCACATCTGCCAGGACAACCTGCACTGAATGCAAGTACGTGGCCAATTTGAACATGTGCTCGAGCTGCGGGGTCCACGGATCCACGCCACTAGGAAGATCTGAGAAGCAAAGCTGCAGCGCACCTCGAAGAAGTCAACTCGCGGAGACTCTCCAGCTGGCACCGGAATGCCACAGCGTGCCTTGGGTTCTTAATTCTGGCTCAACAAGGCCCCCCGCTTGCGACCGGGCGCCCAGCCAGCAGCGCGAGAAGTCCCAAAGTCTTCAGGACGACTGTCTTGCCCCCAGCATTCGGGCCTGTAAGGAGTAGTCCCTGGCTGGACTTCCCTAGCCTTGGAAAACGAAGTCTGCATGGGCGAGAGTTGCCATGACGAGGCCACACACACACACACATATGTCACATGTCTGCAAGGCTTCTGGGAGCCTTTTGTTGCTGGGCCGGCGGCTCGAGGCGATAACCTACGACCTTGCAGTCTGAGCCGACGAAAATGAACACAGAGAAAGTCATGCTTCAGGTCCCACACCCGCTTGCCACCGCGCAGTATGAGGCAGGGATTCCTTGCCTGCCAGCTCCCGGATTGCACACGTTCTGGATAGAATCGATGTTTGGATTTCACCCACACGACCTGCTTCACCTCTATGATCCCATCATCTCCCACATTGGGCACCTGCCAGAAGTCTGTTGGATTCAGCAAATTATGGGGAACAGGTGAGACGACTGCATCTCACCTCTCCTTCCATGTCCTCGCCCAGAAACAGTCTCGCGCGCGCTAGGTCAATGCGTGCCGCCGCCTGGATCAGAGCAGGACATGTTGCATCCAACCAGAACCAGGATAGTACTCGATAGTACAGGCAGGTGACGGGTACGCCTGGCCTCCAAGCACCGCCGAATGTCCTTCGCCGCATGGGAGAGCGCCAGGGACATTGTCCTTCCGTGCAGATGAATTCAAAACATCTTCTGGTGACATGTTGCCCATTTGTAAAGATCACGATAGACACGTTGTAAAAACAACATTATGACAGTGCGCTGGGAAAGTCCCTGCGATACTGGCACTGCTGCGACGACAAAGTTCCGTGCGAGACTTGCAGTGTGTCGCAGCACTTCAAAGGGGTCCCAAGAATGCGGCGAACCAGCAGCTTCAGTTCCTGGCACTGAAGTCCATGCTGCAACTCTACGCTCCGCGAGAATCTAGAAGTGGCCGTCCTTTTGACTTTCAAGGAGGTCATCGGTCAATGCGACGACCTCGTTCGGCTCCACGTACACAGTGCCTGCAGTCGAAACGGGGCACAGATTGAGCGTGATTGAGTTGACCTGTACGTAAAGCATAGACTAGTCTAGAAGCGCAACCGAACATCTGCACATGTTCTCAGGTCTGGAGCGGGTTACAGAGTTTATGAAATAAATTCTGACGAATTTTTCTGCGTGCCTGCGGGGCAGGACCCCTGGTGCAACCCTAGGACGCTGCAAGCCCTTAAAGTCCGTCAACCAAATTGCACTTCCTCGAGGTTGGGATCTCATGAAAAGAGGTGCCACTCCTTAGCTTTACACTTCTCTCCACAAGATGTGGCAAAGTCCAAGAGCATTCCAAGAGCTGTTGCCACCGAATCTACCGTGGCCTGCGTATTATTGTCTGGATCTTCGAGTAGCAAGGCGATTCAGGAAGCTCGTTCAATGCCGTTCCAAGAACCAAGAGGCACAGAGTCCTCTTGGAAATGTTGGAGGCTCTGTTCTTGTTGGAGTCTTGAACGAAGCCCTGCTGCTGATGCATGTTCTGGAACTGGTACGGAAAGGCTGCAAAACTCTTCCCTGAACAGTGTACAAAGTGAACCAGACTTCAGCGTGTGTGTGCGCGTGTGTAATCCCTGTCTAAAACAGCTACAAAACAATAACGAGCGTGAAGTGCAGCAGGGGACGAAAGGCTTACTGGATGGCTTGGGCCAACGAAGACTCATCCAGTATGCTAAACGTGCCTGATAGAATGACGCACCGGGGCAAAGATCCATGTCCTCGAAACCTGTAATCTAAACAGTGGCAGATGCAGCAGATCACAATATCCAGACACAAATCGGAAGTGACGCCAACAAAAAACAGAGCGACATCACCGACGACATTACAGAACATGAGATCTGGTGCAAGTGTGTGTGTGCGTGTGGGGGGGGGGTGTATGTGTGTGTGCGCGTGCCTGTGCGTTTGCGTGTCTGTGTGTGTCTGTGTGTGTCTGTGTGTGTCTGTGTGTGTGTGTGTCTGTGTGTGTCTGTGTGTGTCTGTGTGTGTGTCTGTGTGTGTGTCTGTGTGTCTCTGTGTGTCTCTGTGTGTCTCTGTGTGTCTCTGTGTGTCTCTGTGTGTCTCTGTGTGTCTCTGTGTGTCTCTGTGTGTCTCTGTGTGTCTCTGTGTGTCTCTGTGTGTCTCTGTGTCTCT